CCTCCCTGGCTGCGGCATGCCCGTGCTCCGCGTGCGCCTGAACCTCCCGGGCTTCCACTCCCCGGACGCGCGCCGAGCCCGCACGGTCATGCCCCTCGGTGTCTTCGTCGCCGTCCTCCTCATCTTCAGCGTCCTCCTCGCCGTCGTGCTGAGACGGCCAGGGAGCATGGATATTGAGACTTGAGGCAACAGACACGGTCGCAATATCCAAACTCTGTAGTAAGGCGTCGTCATCGTCGTCGTCACAGTCCCCCTCCTCCTCGTCGTTGTCCTCCTCCTCCTCCTCCTCCTCCTCCTCCTCTATCTCCTCTTCTTCCTCCTCCTCCTCCTCCTCCTCGTTGTCGTCGTCTTTCGCCGATCGTTGCGTGCGGAGTGGCCCGCCAGTGGTCCGTGAGCCGAGGGGATCAGGTCAAGACGCGGACACGAGGACCACCCCTGGGCTCCGGAGGGGCTCTGGCGTTCGGCCTGCTCCTCCGATCCGGGCCGGGGAACGGGTCCGTGGCCCAGGCACGCCGTGGGCAGGAACGCTGCTGTGAGATCCATGGTCGAGCCAAAGTTGGAGGTTCATCGCAGGCCTAGAGGTTGACACCGACACCAAGATCGGCGGTGTGCCTCCACCGAGGGAGGACGATCCCAAGCTCGGTGGTGGTGGTGATATTTTGGTTTCCAAGGCGACCGAGATATGACCAACAACACCGAGATCTAGGATCAGTTTCCCCTATGTGGAGGCAACCTCTTGTGCTGGTGTTGGTGCCAATTTCCAGGCCTCCAATTTCACCAGCTTTCAGACCCTGGATTCTTTATCCAAGGGTTCCATATCCGATGCCCCTGCCGCAGGTTATGCACCCTCGTCGCGCACAAGGGGTGTTCAAAGCAGGCGCCTCGGGCGCCGACCTCGTCCCGGGAGGTGCATTCTGACAGGCTCGCCAGGCGCTCGGCGCACTCTTGCCTTGTCACTCTTCCGCTTCTGGGGCATCCCTTCTCCTTTGGGGGGCGGGCGGACCCTGACAGGCTGGCAGTCGGACCCTCCTTCGTGCTGCTGGGTCGGGCGGGCGGGCGCTAGCCCAGTCGGATCGGGCCAGGCGGAATCTTACTCTGGCTCAGTCGGGTCGGGTCCTGTCAGGCTTACTCAGGATGTGTTGGCGGACTAGGAGTCGGCGACCCGCCGCTGCTGTTGGAAAGGGTGTTCGTTGCGAGCCAGTGTGCACGCATGTCGTTGAAAGGAGGTATGCCTGGATATCCAGATCCTAATCTACTCAACGCGCCTTCCTACTTCAAGAGTCGAACGGCTGTCTTTCTTCCATCCTTTTCAGGGGGCGGGCGAAGTCTAACCTGCTTTCAACGCCTTCCTACTTCAAATATCTACCCACTTCTTCCGACCAGCGGGTGTAGGCATGCTTTCTCATCCATGCGCCAGCTGTGTGGGTCTCGCCCTTCAGATCACCGAGTGGGCGCCAGTTCTGGAATATTTTCAATGCGTACCTCGTCTTGAGTGACGCCCCCGCGTGCACCATTCTGCTTTCATTGCAATCAGGCATATTGGTTGCGGTGGCTGCTGGCACGATCTAATACTGTGGCTGAGGCTCCCGATGCTTTTCAATTTCGTGATCGGCAATTTCACGATGTCGCCCCA